CCAGAGTAGGGTAGGAATGGAGATTTTGCAATATCCTTCGCCAAGGAGTGGGGAGGGAATGGGGATTTTGCAGTACCCTTCCCCCAGGAGTGGGGAGGGAATGGAGATTTTGCAGTGTCCTTCCCCTGCCACGCCCACCAAACCACGCCCACAGAACTGGTAGTAAAAAAAAATTGAATTCCACCACTGAAAGGATGTATACAGTAGCAGAAAATAACCCCACTTCCCGACAATTCAAAAGAAGCATTTTGTTCTTTTGCAATTTTTCAAAGGACAATCAGTGCTGCAGTTTAGGAAAAGGATTAATTTGTTTTTTTTAGTAAAAAAGAAGAAGGCAGACACTTAATTGGGGCCAGATTTTTTTTTTTTAATTCGCTCTCATAAAGAATCCACCACAAGGTTTTATAATGTTATGCATTTTTTTTTCTTACTTATAAAAATAAGCAGAGAAAATAGCTTGCATCTTTTTCTCATTGCTGCAATAACTTTTTTTAAAATCATCTTTATAAGAACACCGGTGGCTATTTTCTTTTTTCTTTCTTAAAAAAAAAAAGATAATTGCAATTTCATAAATAAATAATGACATATACCAGATATGCTCACTGTTTATTCCAGCATTTGGCCAAAAGGAAAAAAAAATTAAATTATAAATACATACTTTATATATATATGTATCTGTATAGAAATGGCACAAAATATCTAAAGTGCGAAAAAAATCACAATTAAATCATGCATTTTTCTTTATTATTTCTTAAGATAAGCCACAGCCCTCAATTTCAAGTGGGATCCATCAGTATTATAAGGCCAGGTGTTTTTAAGAAGGGGTGCACTTTGATCTAGTATCACACTGAGTTGCAATCACTCTATTGCATGGGCTGATAGGGTTCTGTTATTCATCTACCTTAAGCTTATAAAAATTGCTTAGATTTATACCAGTTACTTACTTTAGGCTTTTGACAGATATTAAACGGAAAGCATACAAGCTCCTCTTCCATTCAAAGTGGAAATTAAGCTTCCTCATCATATTTGGAGGAGGAGGAGGAGGAGGAGGAGGAGGAGGATTCTGCTGTTTCTTTAATAGTATCTAAAACATTTCATATTTGGACCGTCTAGAATCTGAAACGCTCCCTTCAACCTGGAAACAGCTGCCCTTTAGCAAAATGGGCTTTTTTCAAACATTTTTTGAAGTTCAACACCTCTGAAATGCTGGAAAAGACCTGTTTTGAATCGGAAACTATTCGTTTAGAATTCAAAATGGTTCAAATGTGAACATTTTGCACAGAACCCCCCCCTTTTTAATTCTCTCTCCTTCCTTTTCAGATTTTTTTCTGCTCCCCCCAATAGCAACTTTGTTCCTTACAAAATGGCTAGTTCTGTTCATACAAGTCACTTTCATGGCATGAAGTGGGGTTATATAATCAAGAAAAAAAGGGGAAGAGGAGGAAGGGAAGGCAGGAGTCCCTGGAGTAAGGGTAGACAAACCTGTTACTCTCCATTTTTTTTTATTTTTATTTTTAGATGTTAAGCACAAGACACAGGTCTTCTGTTCCAGACCAACATGGTTGGAGATGTAATTCAGTAGAATCTGGAGAGCTATATTTTACTATACTTTAGATCAGGGGTCTCCAACCTTGGCAACGTTAAGCCTGGAGGACTTCAACTCCCAGAATTAAAGTCCTCCAGGCTTAACGTTGCCAAGGTTGGAGACCCCTGCTTTAGATCACAAGCTATAAACTCCCACAATCCCTTGCCACATTTTGATGAGAGGAAGACCTACAACATCTCGAGAGCCCTCCTTTGCCTCAGGAGGTTGAGGTGGGGATGAATTTTTGCGTTCCTTAAGACGATTTTATGGATTAGCCCCCAAGGCCCATTCAGTTTGGCCATTTTAGGAATGTCCACTGGTCTCATGAACAAGCTTGGGTCTGGTCTACAGTACAACGGCACCCATTTGAAGAAATCAAGAGAAGCAAGATGGTGGGTAGGGCCTTTCATTGAGATGCCACATCTACTATCTGGCCTCTTTTGACCCCTTTGTTGTTATAACGACCATTATTAGGAGCGCACATTTTTTTTTGTGAGGGAACCCCATTCTACTACCAAATTAAATATCCATTTCAGTGCAGTTAAAATTACTTTGTGAATCGACCTATGGGATTTAAGGAATTACTATACCTGTCACTGTAAAGCAATATCCTCTAATGCAGGGGTCTCCAAAGTTGGCAACTTTTAAGCGTTGTGGACTTCAACTCCCAGAATTCCCTAACCAGGGTGGCAGTTGAAGTCCGTAAGTCTTAAAGTTGCCAAGTGTGGAGATCCCTGCTCTAACGCGATATGCTCTATTTGCCAAATAGATTTTCCTTCTCCCATATATGCATTCTCTCCCCACCCCTTCTAAAATTCCAACATGTCATTAATACTCAAGCAATTTAATGTGGAATATCAGTGCTCCACACTCACAAATCAAGAAACACGCTTCGCTCCCCAATCAACCTTCATTTTAAAGCATTGTTGAAAAGACACACTCCTGAAACAAGCAAAGGAGAATTGAATTTACCTGAAAAGCGTTAAGTTTCTATTCCACAGCATCACACCTAGACTGCATAATATGGAATATAAAAATCTTGCTCCTGGCAATTCTTCCCTTCTTCCTTTGCTGCTCATAATTCTATAACCACATTTTTCTCAGGCTACATGCATTTAAATGAAGACAGCAAAGGCTGAAGTACTGCCTTCGGGGTGAGAAATGTATTTTTAGCAGCAAGTTAATGCTTAAAGGCGTCGTGGTAAACATTCTATTGCTTTTTAAATAGTTTTTCCATGAGAAGCATATATTTTTTCAGTATATTCATTGTGATTATTTGCTTCTCTACAGTAAGGTAATGGTCACCTGTGGTTGCCACTTCCTTTACTGGAGAGATTTGCAGGGTGAGGGGGGGTGTCCACAGAGAGGGCAGCAAAAGAAAGAGATAAGAGGTGGATGCACCTCTTTTAACGCTATCATCTTTTGACTCTTTTCCTCTGGTGGATGACCCTGCAAATTTGGAATGTAACATGGATCAAATCTCTGCGGAACCTGACGGCGGTCCAAAAGATTTCTCATTAAGAAGATGAACTTCACACACGATGAACAAGATTTATTCCGATTTGGAAAGTGCAATAGGTAAAGTGCCCGTTTCAATCCTTCCAGCAAAGTTTCGAAGCCAGTGCATTAGGAAAGCGTAATTTCTCAGGGGAGCAGCAGCAAAGCTTTTCAATTCAAGCTGCTCCTAAAAATACCTCTTTTCAAACTGGAGAATCAGAGAGAAGTGCCCCAGCAGAAGGGATATATATATATATATATATCCAGGATATATATATATCCAGGAGCAAAATATATATATTTTCAGGAGCAAATATATATATATTTTCCAGGAGCAATTTCTCCAAGATTAATTTTCGGCATCCAGCATAGTCAGGCATATTGCCAGAGTCCTACAAAATCTTCCAATAAAAATTCTCTACGTTCCCTGCTGAAGCAGTGCAAAAAAACACAAAACAAGCTGGCAGGGCCCAGGCAGCTTCAGAAATGTGGTGCTTTTGCCCATCAAAACTTGCAAGGAAAGAGAAAAGATATCTCAGGAGAATCCATCAAACCTACTTTGCCAACCTGTCCTCTTAAACGATTAAGTTGATCCTGACCCTGAGTTTTATGATTTATTTGAAAGGCTGTTTCAGTGGGACATTAACTTTGACATTTCAAAGATTGCAAAATCAATGGGTTCACAACCGACTAAATTAGCTGAATTTGGTCCCCCCCCTTTGAGATTTAACCACCAACCTGACCGCGAATCTGGGAGGGGACCTGAGTTGAACTACTTAACCTTGCTCCAACTCAATGCATTGAGAGTTAAGGCAAGCCCTCACTAGATCGCTAAGCTATGTGTAGGCACGTCACGTATAGTTCAGTTTGGTGAAGGTATTTTTTTTTTAAAGCAGCGCCCAAGAATCTCGCTTTAATGTAGGCAGGGGTTAGGACAGGGGTCGGCAACCTTAAACACTCAAAGAGCCACAAAGGTCCTAACGCAAGCCTCCCATTCAATTCTGGAGCTGACTGGAAGTCCGGTTACCCCACCATAGAGTCTCCTCCTAGCACAGCATCCTTTTTCCTCTACCTGTCCTAACCGAAAGCCCTATCAATTGTGGAGCTGATCGGCGACAAGGAGCCACAGCAGAGGGATGAAAGAGCCACATACAGCTCCAGAGCTGTGGATTGCTGAGCCCTGGGTTAGGATATGGCATCTGACAATAACCAAAGTAATTTTCTTTGTCTAACCCTTTCTCTTGATTCAAGTGGCATTCCTAAGCAAAGTAATTTAACAGTATAGTGCAGGGGTCTCCAACCTTGGCAACTTTAAGACTTGTGGACTTCAACTCCCAGAGTTCCTCAGCCAGTTGGCTGAGGAACTCTGGGAGTTGAAGTCCACAAGTCTTAAAGTTGCCAAGGTTGGAGACCCCTGGTATAGTGCTTTAAGAATCGAGTCATACTTTTGTACTGATGCTTTCCAACAGAGGTGGTGTTCTTCTAGAAATAAAGTTGTCCAGAAATCATTACAAAGTTATCAAGTGGAACGATGAGTTGCAAAGCTATTGGATATCATTTCAACAACAACTCCAAAAGCCCCTGGAACTTTTCCCTAATACACAATTTGTTCAGTTTCTTTCAAGAGAGTAAGGCTCAAGGCTCTATTCTTAAGACAGTGGTCACCAGATTCCTTAAAGTGACCCGGGAAAAGTAATGGTAAGTTGGATGGTTTTGTCTGCTCTTTTAGAGACCATGCAAGAGGTATTAGCATCTCAAGAAAATATAGACATGCCTTAAGCCCTTCTGTCTATTACCATGCAAGAGTCCTCACTAGTGCAGGGGTCTCCAACCTTGGCAACTTTATGACTTGTGGACTTCAACTTCCAGAATTCCTCAGCCAGCATGTGCTGGCTAAGGAATTCTGGGAGCTGAAGTCCACAAGTCGTAAAGTTGCCAAGGTTGGAGACCCCTGCACTAGTGAGGACCTTCCACTTCAAACTGTAAGAGGCTACTCTTAAAATAAAAGAACTGCCATTCTGTCCAAATAACATATAAGACTTTCTTCTAGCAAGATAGTATGTCCACTGAGATGTCACCAACCCTACCCCTACACATGCCAATTTCTACATGCAAACACTTTGTTCTGATCATGCCACATTCCCATCACAAGGTTCTCAACTTACAGCCTCAAGACGTGCAGTCCAAGACAATTTCACCATCCCGGTGAGAACTAGGCCAAGGTTCTAGACCGTCTTCTCCCACCCGGTATTCTTATGATGTGTTGGAATATGTCTACAATCACTCTAGAGCAAGCATGCTGCTGGAGAGTGATGGGACCCATAGATTAACACAGGGGTGTCAAACTCGCGGCTCTGCAGGCTGGATGCGTCGCGTAGCTGGCCCCGTCCCCGCCTGGTTTAGCGAAGGGGGAAAAAGTCCCAATACATCACGTGACGCCGCCGTGACGCCGCGAGTTTGACACCCCTGGATTAACACATCAGGAGAACAGTGGGATGAGGAAGACGGATTTTAAGCATCATTTGTCATGGCACTATTGACAATTCTAGGGCTAAGCTCTTGCCGTATGTTAAAATGGAAAGTGGGGAGGAATTGTCCACAGGAAGTGAAACTCTCGCAATGCAAAGACAGCAGCACATTTCATACAAGTTGTTGGTGTATCAAGGTCCCAGAACAACAACTTGGACATTACTTTATAGTGTCATCTTACCCCACCTGCTTACAACCTCTAGACATTGCAGGGTAGTATAAGAAAAAAAATAAAAGATAAATATCTAATCTTTGGCAAATTGCCTTTTTTTTAAGGAAGACTTGAAGGGGAGGATCTAGTTGTTAGAAAAGTTCAAGACTTAGCCGTTTGTTGGGTCAGTTCTCAGGCTAGCAAAAACATTTCGTTTCTTCACTTAATTGGAAAGGCTGGGACAACATTCCAAGTGATCCAAGATGAACTGCTCATTTGCTGTAAGATCCTTTTTTATGGTCAGAATTTGAAGAGGTCAGGAGTGGGCTGCTGGGGGTTCACGCGGGTTCGGAAGAACCTCTAGCTAAGATTCTGTGCAGTTCGGAGAACCCCCAAATCCCACTCCTGACTGGCCCTAGCCACCCCGCCCCACCGAGGAGTCCCCACGCAGCCCGTTTTGGATGCAGGTAAGTGCGCGGAGGCTTGGGAAGGGCGAAAAACGGGCCTATCGGAAATTCAGAAAGGTTGGAAATGGGCCAGTTTCCAGCCTCCAGAGGGCCTCTAGAGCATGGGGAGGCTGTTTTCGCCCTCCCGGAGGCTCGAGGAAAGCCTCCGGAGCCCGGAGAGGGCAAAAACACCTTCCCACCATGGTGCAGGAGGCCGATTAGGCCAAGCCCACCATGGCCATGCCCACCCAGCAACCGGGCAGAGAACCCCTTGCTAAAATTTTTGAAGCCCACCCCGGAAGAGGTTAATGTTGATTAAAAACAGTCATCTCAGGAACTCTCAAAAGTGAAAAAAATTAAACCTTGCAGCACTGAGATTCGGAGTCTAGATAGGACTCTGATGTTTGCCTATGAAACAGTACCATTCGTATCCATGGTCCAATGAGACCTGCAGAAAACATCTTTTTATTTCTTCTTTCGTTTTGTTTTAGACTCCCCCATTCTTGTCTTCCCCTTAGGATAAGCAGAACTATATCTATGCTATCCGACTGTCAAGTCGTTTGAGCTACAGTACAAGGAAAGTTTGGTGTCTGTTGAAGTGCTCTTACAGTCACTTTCAAGAAAAGCTTATATTCATTTGACCTGTTGGGGGCAGATCAAGAGATCTACCTTCCATGATGAAATGGAGCTTTGATACAGTCCTAACCAGAATTCTATTTTCATACAGTTTGTTTGAAGGGTGAAGCGGGACCGGGGGGGATGAGAAGTAAAAACTCTATAGCCGATGACTAGGGACCAATCTATACTTCCATAAAAAACACGGAGAACCAATTATTCCTGACTGTACCACTTCAGAATATATTATGATTAATGGCAGAGGAGGAGAAGTAGATTCTTTCTATTCTTTCCCAATTAAAGGAGGTCCTCATGAAGTATTTTAGACTGTTGAAAGAACTATTTAAGCATGAGTACATTTGCAACATTAAGCTTTAAATAGGCGGTTTTCCCCACCTCAACTTTTAAGTCAGGAGTCTCCAAACTTGGCAACTTTAAGACTTCTGGACTTCAATTCCCAGAATTGAAGTCCAGAAGTCTTACAAGTTGCCAAGTTTGGAGACCCTTGCTTTAAGTGGTACAGTCCCAGGAAAACAATGCCATGTCCTTTTCATTTGTTTGTTTGAATGTATAGATTGGCTCAATGTCCTTAGAAAGTCAGTTACAGTACATTTCTGGTGTATTGTGAATGCAAAAGAAAAAAATAAAAAAGAGCAATTTCTTAGTTTGGTACAACTGGGATTCTCTACTCATTCCGTGGCACATTTACACACTTTCTGAAGAATCACGCTTCACGTGGGCCGCTGAAGGTCCCTCCCCCCGGAGATTCCTCAAATAGATTTTTAACTTTTGAGGTTCCGCGATGCGTCTCCGATTGAAGTCTGCTCTTGGATGAATCTGGCCGCAGCGATCTGTCTGCAGGAGATGAAAGAGGCTTGCCATGTCTGGTCCAATTTTAGCCATCAAACTGTCTTTAATGGTCCCGACTGTTTCTTCCCCACATTCCAGCAAACTTCTCACAAGTTTGCTGTAATACCTGTAATAAAGACAATATTAGTTAGTCTTCCATAAGATTGTCCCAAAGAACTCAACAGAGTTCATAGCATTCAGAAGCCAGTATTCAGAACGACTATGGAGATTCTCAATCATCCAGCAATGTTTGTCCCAGAGGTGCTTTTTCAAAAAGGCAACTGGACTTTCTGGTTTTTTTCTTTGAAGTCATTTTGCTTCTCATCCAAGAAGCTTCTTCAGCTCTGAGTGGATGGTGGGGAATGGAAGGATTTATACTCCTTGCAGACAGCTGGGCATTTGCATCCTTTTAGAGAGTCATTGAGGCCACTTGGAGCAGTGATGGGTTGCTCCCGGTTTGCAAGAACTGGTAGTAAAAATTTGTAGTAGTTCGGAGAACCGGTAATAACATTGGCTGGCCATGCCCCCGAACCGGTCCCCAGCCCGGTCGCCGCTCACTTACCCCGCCCACCTCATCAGAGGCTTTTTTAAAAAAAACTTTTAAAAGCATTTTTTCTACAACCTCTTTGGCTGAAAAAATGCTTTTAAAAGTAAAAAAAAAAAGCCTCTGATGATCGCGCGGCTCAACTGATCAACTCAGCTGATATTTAGAGATGGAGATGAAGGTGGTTTGTGGCTTTAGAATACTCAACCTATTTTGCACAGCCCAAATGCAATCTTTGGTGACAATACACCTTAACCATGGCCCATGATAGGGTCAGCTCTCTCAATAGGCAGCAGAAGGAAACAGACGAAGCTCCTAGCAGCTCCTCCAAAAATGATCAATTTGGTAGCACCTTTTATGAAACGGCAAAAGGTTTCATTAACATCTGCGAAATTTTGGTTACCGTAAACTTACACAGCTCTCCTGAACCCCTTGGGCTGCTATTCATGAGCATCTGCCCATGATTTGCCACCTTACACCTATGGTAAGGCTGACTCCTTCCAGGAGTAGATGATGGCGAGAAGGTAGTAGATGGAAGTTTGTGGAGGGCAGAGCAATTTTTGCCAGCCAGGCTGCCCTGTATGGTTTTATGCTAGATTGCTTGGGAGACAATCTTTCTGGAAATAAAACCCATCCATCAGCCAAGCCAGATTCTCAACACCACCGTATATTTCGCCTTTGGCAGATCAACCTCCTGGTGCTATGCTAACTTCTCAATCAAACTAAGATGTTGCCTGCTCACTCAAGAGTCGTTTCTTCCACCTACCCATCTGCTCAGCATTGCTTCACAAAACTGCAACATGAAGTTCTTTTTTTCCATTTAAATCTTTACGCAAAACCTGCATTTTCTGCCTAGCTTTTAAAAACAACCCTTCGTTCCCAACTCTTATGTCAGGATCTAAGTGTATGCTAGGATCTAAAATGATCCCATATTCTGCTTTCCTGGGATGATCACTGCTGCTACTTCTCTTCCGTTTCCCCCCCCCTTCTATTTGTCCTTTGTCAGTGTAGGAAGTTAGCACCCACCCCTTTCCTAGAAGAATGAAATATTTTGGGAAATATTAAAAAGGCAGAATATTATGTTTCCCTGGATGAGAAATGGAGAAGCATGTTTTAAAGACAAAGCAGCTCCCACCTTCCTGCCCCCACCCTTTTGTTAATGGGCCAGAGGCAGAAACTCAATCTTTGTCAATGAACCATCATCTGCAAGACAATGGGGCCCATCTATAGGACAGAAACTCATCACATGGCACCTGGGAAGATTATATCAGCCAGCAGGGCTAGCTAAGACCCCCACCCCCTGGAAGTCTGACAACCAATCAGGATACTCTTTCTGGGCCCCAGGAAGTTCAAAGCCAGAGAGGGTATAAAACCCGGAGAGTCGCTGTATCTGCCCTTTTCTGTTCAGGAACTCAAACCATGTGATCCTGTCCACCATTAAACTATCTTTCCAAGCAGTCTCCATGTTTCCAGTGTCTTTTTCACCACTTGGAGCTGAACCCAGAAGGATATTTCTTCCTACATCAGCTTATGAAGGTGTGAACTTCTGGAGCTGAACTTCTGCTGCTAACCTGGTGAATATTCTCCACCCATCAGTTGTCATTGGTCCTATGAGAGCAGAGTACCAGAGAAAGCCAAAATGGGCCCATTTCATTTATTCTAGAAATGTGTTCACTGTGCTTCAAATCAGCATTTGCAAATCAAATCAGTATTTGGATACTGCAGTCAAGTGGTATTACCATTTCAATCCATTTAATTCCATTCACTTTGGGTAGGTCAAATTACAAGGAAGTGATTTTGATGCCAGGAAAGATTTCCTAATGATAAGAACGGTTGGACAATGAAACAATCTGTTTTTGGAGGTGTTTCAGCAGGGACTGCATAGCCAACTTTATTTATTTATTTATTTTTATTTTATTATTCATATTTCTATGCCGCCCACTCTCCGAGGACTCTGGGCGGCTTACACCAAAGACAGTATACTAAATAGCATATTGCCCCCAACAATCTAGGTCCTCATTCTACCCAGCTCGGAAGGATGGAAGGCTGAGTCAACCTTGAGCCGGTGAGATTTGATCCGCTGATCTGCTGAACTAGCAGCTGAAGTAGCTGCAGTACTGCACTCTAACCACTGCGCCACCTCGGCTCATACTTTGGGGATGCTATTGTAATGGATATGTACCCTGGGTAGGAGGTTGAACTAGATGGTCTTCAAAGTATCTTCTACCCTTCCTATTTGATGATGCTAAAACCACAATTTAAATACAGTAAAAGCCTAGGTAGACATCAGAGAACAATGTTAAGATGCCTGAAGTGGAAATGCATTGGTGTAATTGTAATAGGACGCCACATTTGTGCAGTCCTTGGTGTTCTTTGAACTTGGTTGTTTGCACAGATGATGTTATCTAGTTGGATAATGAACCATCTGCAAGCAAAGAACTAAGCTCAGAGAGCACTAAGGGCTCCGCAGTTCAACCCTGAGCTACAGATATTCTCTACTATTGGGAAATGTCTACGGAGATTCTCCATCATCCAGGTGATGGTTGTCCCAAAGGTGCTTTTCTTTCCAAAGGCAACTGGACTTTCTTGTTTTGCTTGAAGACATTTCACTTTTCATCCAAGAAGTTTTAAGTTCTGACTGAATGGTGGAGAATGGAAGGATTTCTGCAAGATGACTGCAAGGAACATAAATCCTTCCATTCTCCATTATTCAGACAGGACTGAAGAAGCTTCTTGGATGAGAAGTGAAATGTCTTCAAGCCACACAAGAAAGCCCAGTTGACTTTGGCAAAGAAAGCACCTTTGGGTCTTCTAATGGTATTCTGACCTAGGCTTCCTTAGAAATTAAACAGCACAAACTTAGTCCCGGCAAACCTCTTTAATTCATACAGATGTAAATTACTTTCATTTACAGTCCGCAAGACTTGATAAACAGTCTTTCAGAGGAAGGTTATCAACACCCACCTATCTCATGTGGAACACTGCCAAAGAGCTAATTTCCAGACGCAGGGCAAGGCCAAACTTGGCACAGAGTCACAAACAGAATTTTCATCTCTTGAATCGGCCAGATGAATTGCTTCCTCCAAAAGCTCACGTCCCATTCACTTCTCTTTTATGTCTTATGGAAGGAGCCAATCATCTCCAAGCCTTACGCCCAAGTCGACCCTGTTTCCCTAATTGTTCCTGTCTCCTGGCAGCTCTGCACTTGCACACACTGGGAACAGGCTCACGCTGTTCTTCTGCCTCGCTGATGTCAGACTCCGGAGACTCCAGAGGCAGCAAAGAAGTGCCAGATGGCCTTGGCCCCTCTCTGCCTCTGACTTGTCTGAGCCTTCCCCAGATTCCAGGACTGGCCCACATTCCTCCCCCCCACCTCCTCATGTCCAAATCTGCTGCCAGCTCTGCTGGCCGCTGGTGGGCCACAACAAATGGGACCTCCACATTTGTCCATTAAAAAGCACAAATAAATCACATCAAAGTGCCCCCCCTCTCTGCCAACTTATCAGCTCAAGTCTTTTATTATTATATTATTATTATTATTATTATTATTATTATTATTATTATTATTATTATTATTATTTAGTCCAATTTATATGCCGCCCTTCTCCATAGACTCAGGGCGGCTTACAATGCATTATAGCAATAGCCTGCATACTTTTTTGTATATACCTGCTTATTAGGGCTTTCACCCCCCCTCCCCCCAAAGCAGTGTTGTTCTATACAAAGTTGGCTTATTGCCGATGTCAGCACTTCAACCTGCATTTACTCTAGTGCTGACATAAGAAGGAGAAGCGAAGGCGTCTGGAAAGGGACGTTTGACTTTTCACCTACTTATTTTCCCTGGAGATAATATCCCCTAGAAGATGGGATGGGAGGGGGGAAATTTCTTTGAGCTGGAGTAGATTAGGGATAGAATGACTTGGAAGATGGCCAATGAGTGCAGGGGAGTGGGGAACGGAAAGGGAGGGTTTTGGGGCTGGACGTCAGTGTTGGCTTCATTTGGAGTCGGGTTAGAATGTCGTGCTTAATAAATAGGAGTTTTTCTTCAAAGACTTTGTTTGAATTGCAATTTATTTGAGACGATCTCGAAACTTGACAGCCCGCACAATCCGGGTCCTCAATTTACCTACCTCGAAAGGATGGAAGGCTGAGTCAACCTTGAGCCTGGTGAGATTCGAACTTGCACTAATTGCAGGCAGCCGGCAGCTAAATGCTAGCACTTAACAGCACTTTAGTCCGCTGCACCACCGAGGTGTCTGACCAGAACACAGCATCTCCTGAGCTAACCAATGGCATCATTTTTTTAAAAAAATCCATCTCAACGTGCACTGCAGCTGTGCAGCCCCTTCTGTGACCAAGAAAGAGCTTTTAATCAAGGAGAGGCCCTTTTCCCACCCAGCAACTGCCTGAAGTCACATCAGAATGGCATAGCAACATGAGGAAGGCTAATCTCGTGCATTGTTCCCATAGATTTGCCTCAGAGGCTGCCTCGGGGAGTCAGCTCCTCCAATGATCCAGACACTGGCGTCTTAAAAATCTGAAATATTTTTTCCAGCCCTATAATAACCGCTCCAGACATGCAA